GTTTCAGAGGTCATACTGCCTCCGTCATCAGAGTATGAAGATTTCTGTCTTCTGGGTTGTTGCGCCGTGTAGTCTGGTCGATGTTTACCATCGTTTCAGAGGCAGAGGCAGTATGACCTCTGAAACGTTGGTAAACATCTACCAGACTACACAGCGCAACAACCCAGAAGACAGAAAGAAATCTTCATACTCACCGCTGTGAAAACCTCAAATCTTACTTTTATAGTATATCGGCATTTTCCCGGAGAGACTGAGGAAAAGTTGAATGTAGACACCACTCGAGGCTCAACAAGTGACAAAAAGAACAAAACGTACAAGTTATAATGCGAGTGTTTTAATACACGCCTACAGTTGCACCAGATGTGAAAGAACCAAAACCGGAGTCTATAATGGACCAAGTTTATAAACTAATTTGATTCAACGTTACAGAAAGCAATGAGACAGATTTTTTAATTACCTAAAAGTTTCTAATCACATGTAATGAGAAAACAATTACGATTTTTAAACGAGATTTTTCATGTGAATGAGGTCGGAACGATCATAAGTGGCCTAAGTAACTCCTTGACTGCTAGATGGTAATGGTAGTGATGATAATCGTTTATCACTCAACTCCAAACTAAGGTGCTACCTAATATACATTATCTAAAACTCCCATTAAAACGTCTGGCATGTTTGGACTGTAACGAATAAATTTAAGTTTGTCAGAGCCGTGTTCATTCTGAAAAGCCTACCGATTACATATTTTGTTCAAGTTTTGCGACTGAACTGAGTTACATGGAAAGAAATTTGTTTTAAAAATTCGCCTTTTAACAGAATATCGTATGGGAAATATAGTCATAAATTCTACTGGTAGTTCCTTAAGCGGTATTGATATGATTATATACTATCTTGATAGACGGTTTAAATTACCGGCATCAGTACAGCTGCCTGGCATGAGTACACCCCGATTTTTCGAACTGTAGGGATAAGACACTGCGTGATGGGGTGGTGATCGGGAGATACCGAAAGCCAATTTTATTGTATGAGCCAAACATTGATCTGTTACTTTTTTATGGCCTTTGTCCGGTTCAAGACAGGAGGTAAAAAAAATAATAGCGTGAGAAAAGTAAAACAACGAGGTCCAATTTCGGTAACAAGACGAGATGTAGTGGCAAAGTAGCTACAGACCTGGTGGAAAATATTAATATTTCAATACGAAAACATATGTTTTTTTTACCCAGGTCTTTTCGACCTGTTTCATGAGTTTTCTGAATGTAAATTAATTATTTCCCCTTAAAATGTGTTCGATATACATATACTTTTTACAGGCGGCATAACAACCTACGTTTTCACGTTTGGTAGTATCACCTCGCTCTCAGCAATCAGTTAATGACGCACACAACTGAACGGTATGTTTCTGTGAAGAGACTTGACCAGCGTTATAGCGCAGCCGACACACAAAGGCCACTTAAAAGTAACAGACAAGTGTCAGGTACGAAGAACCGGTATATACTAAACCACTAAACTGTGAATGGAGGCTTCTGCATACACACGCTCATTACCCTGTCTGTTACAGATAACATATACACACTTACAGCTCAATTTCTTAGACGTTACGCGCTGTAAATTTGGACGAGTCTAGTAAGAGAAGTTGGAAATTAAAAAGGCATGTACTCCCACTAATCTTCTCCTCACTTCCCCTCACGCGCAGATCAGCGGCCACGTCTAAAAAATTGAACTGTACAGCATACTATTTATACATAGAAAGTACTAGAAGTATTGAAAACAAGCATGTATTGCATCATATACTATAAGGACTATAAAACTTAGAATAACAAAACATGACAAAATTTTAAGCATATGCGGTGTCCCTAATGTCACATTTCGCATCAGAGCGTAGAAGAAATTGCAGCAGCAGGAACATGGAGTACAGAGCCCGCCATCATGGTGGACTGTGTGCCCCCAGACCCGCCGCACCCCTGGTGGATGTTCGTCACACTACTGCATGGATGGCGGCGCAGAGGCCTCTTAGGGACACGTGGCGAAGAGAATTTAGTTGGTTTACCTAGTCCTCAACCCGGAGATACCGCAGTGCCGAATTTTATTAACAGGTAAGCCTCATAAAATTTTATTTCGATACCCATACAAAGAAACCCATCACTCGAGGCCGTGATAACCTCAAAGCTACATTCATGTTGTGTAAGTGGAAGTAATGAATTTGGCCAGAATTCAATTAGCAGTAGGGGCATGAGTTTTTATCTTTGCCTGGTTATTTAGACACACTGTAGGGGTCATCCAGCCTCCAAAATAAAAGGTCCTATTTTTCCGGAAGTGAATTACTTGCAGATATATTGAAGTGATCTAGACTACGAGGAGCGTTACCTTCATTAGCCCGGTGTGCCTGAATTGCAAAGGGTAATTGAAGAAAATATGGCCAGACTAAACTTCTGTTGTTTTTATCATAATAAAAATGTTTTGAAAAAATCGCGATACAGGAGTAATTTAGGTATATTATAAAACCTTATGATATCTGTCTTATAACATTACTCCCAGAAAAATAATTAGTTTCTGAAAGGTATAATTTTGGCCATATTACCTGCACAGCGCAGATAATATTGTCAATCAAAATCTTTCTTCTTAAAAAAATATATGTAAATTGAAATATAAATGCAAAATTTCCGACAAATACGAGGACCACGTGCGGTTTTGAGCTTAAATGTGTACACTACTGTATGTAACAAACAATAATATTTGGGAGAATGTTTTGACTGAGACTTCTTCCAAGCTCACTGAATACAAAATCCAGTTACGGACTCTGCGAAATGAATAACTCAATACAATTAAACATATAAGGAACGACCCTAAACAAAACAAAACTCACTTCCGAGTCGTGAAATAGCCTATTTCTTACACGCTTCATATGTATTAATATGATAACTAAATTTACTTTATTTCTTATGACAACCATTTCTTATAACTTTAACGATAAAAATACATTAAAATAGACCTGATAGAAGTAGGGCCTGAGGGTGTGGCCTGCATCACGGTCCAGAGGTGAGCTCTTAAGAATAATAATTGTGATGAACCTCCGGTTGCATACAATACAGGGTGGCTGAGCGAGTGCCAAACTTAGTTACTTGGTTTGTTAGTCAAAATTATCGCACGCAATTCCGACGCCAGGCCCGTTATTCAAGCCGATTTAGAGTATTAATTCCTTCTACTGTTCGTGAATTTTAGCAATTAAATACAAATTCTCAAACACAGTAATTATATTACACAGACTATATTATATACAGATACGTAAATTGTAAGATTCAGGTTAACTGAATATACCCGTTCCAGACGACGGTTCGATAATGAGATAATTCCAGAGTACGTACAAGACGAATCCTATTCTGTAGTGCCATGAAATTGACGCCATGTAACGTGTGTTTCAGTAATGGATCCAGAGAACGAAACGAGGCCTAGGTCTGAAGCTACAATGTCATCAAATCTGCGAGGCTCACCAGCCAGCTACCGAGTCATCTGCCCTTGATGGGGACGAGTCTACGGTCGCCAAGTAATCAGAACGAAATAGAATATTATGTAAACCGCATAGAACACTTTGAATGGGTTGTGAATAATTGCTTCTTTTTAAATAATCGCTTTACGTAATTTATCTAAATTATTATAGCAGCCATAGGGGAGAGATTAACTATGCAAAACGACTCCTACATGAGACTTTTGTTTATAATTTTGTATTTATCCTTACGAGTGTAACATTACCAACTAACACGAGTAATGTTTGTGTTAATGAAGGATTAAGACTGATCTATTTTAAACATGTCTGCCGTAACTCAATGTTCTTACTTGACTCCACCCCCTCACTAAAAGTATTTTAGTATCAATTTAAATAGCCCCGAGTTAGATGCAGGAGTTAGAATCTTGTTTCCTTCAACAATACACTTAATTCATTTTCTAACAGGAATTTCATTTATCGGCATCCTAACATAACGCCCTTACGGTATTATAACCGGCCACCACATTGAACGATTCAAGCCTAAAACTTCATATAATGTCAATAAAAAATGTCTGTAGTCGTGTAAGCAGTGTAACATATTCCTGGTCAGTGTAGATCCTTCGAGGAAATTTAGAATTATTGTTTGTGTCACCGAATATGAGACACGTTTACAGCCGTAATAAAAATCGTATATACATGTGTCCCAGAAACGTAACCAAACTTATGTATTCAATTATAAAAAATATATATATATTTGTGTGACATGAAGTGAGGTTATTATCGAAAGCTTGGGACATTATTAATATTGTTGTAGATTAAGTTCTACTTGGCTATGTACTTTGTACAAAGTTCAGGTGACGTTTCTGAGACACTCCGTATTAACGACCATTCGTACTTTCATTGCGGTCCATAAGAGTGTTTTGCACAGTCAAATGCTTCCCAAGTGCCGCATGTAGACAAGACAGAGTTCTATAACGTGGTGATGAAGATTAAGAAGAACTAGAACGGAACAGTGTGTCAATTCTATACACTCAAAAGCAAAGGAAGAAAAGTTATATGATTGAAATCAAAACAAGTAAAAATTGCTTTGAACGAGTTCTCAGGGGATGCTTACAGGACGTGCTTTTACTGTGCTTGGGAGCAAAACTAAATGCCTGTAATAATATTTAACAGTTCATATAGATTATCAATTTTAGTGTGAATCGAAATAGTATCGTTATTCTAAGTCCACGGAAACAAAAAAATAATAAAAATAAAAATCATACCAAAGACTAATATTAATAATTTATGAAGAAGCGTCTTTATTTTATGTGATGTAAATGAAAGGATATTGTTAACAATACTATTCTTAACTTGTTTCAAATAACATATAAAATTGTCTTCTGTTCTGCCTTTCAACACCCAAAACACAATAAAACAATTCTTTTTTTATTCTGAAACACGTATAGGGAATTGGTGTTGGGGAGTTAAACACAGAACAATTAATCTTCATGAAGTCAACATCCATTTGCAAATAATATAAGAGAGAAAATGTGATAGTTTACACAACGTATACATGTAACAAGTTGTGTTATAAGGGACAGAAATCTCAGTTATTTCATGTGGTAGATAATTTCGAAATGTTTTGAAACTCTTCTTAGTACAGTAGCCCTGTACTTTTGTTAGATGTTTTAACTTTATAAACTATGTAAGTCACCCGCCGATAAGTAGTTCAGATTTTATTTGAGCCTTGAATTTAAAAACGCCTGTATGACGGTCAATAGCTTCGAAACCATGGCTTATTTTTCACCAGCAACTAATATTCGAAACAATAATAATAATAACTTAGATTAATAATAGTAATAATAAATTCTCTCACGAAAATACTTCCAGCGATCAAGCAGCCATTAAATTTGTGAGTTTTATGAAACACCCTATTTTAAAAATATAAACTACACATTTCAGCACCTGTTTAGATTAGTATTCTATCAGCCTTACAGCATCCAAAGTAGTAGCTTACGTAAACAAAACAAATTGTATGCATTGGGCATCGTTCTTCAAATTCTGTAAATTCAATAATTTAGACAAAAGAAGTAGTTGGAATAAAATTGTGCTCAGCTAAAACAAAACATTCCGTAATTTCCTTACTATTGGCAGTTTCAGAGTTATGTAAATGCAACAAATATAAGCTCTCATACAAAACGCAGGCCAGACTAAATATATTGTGTACTACAACTGAATATTTCAGAAATATTTTTTCAATGCAAATAAATTTCGTAATAAAAGTTTTTTTTTCGAATATCTGTTACCATACATCATACCAGAAATCTATACTGAGTGTCACTAATGTCGTTCCCACCTCATAAGTTCGTGCTTACACCATTTTTTATTACAGATTGCAGGAAATTAAAAAATACGAGTTTGGGACAGCTTCCAATTGCATAGCGTCCATTCCAAATTTTAACAAAATCCGTCAATCGGCCTTCGGGTTCTAATTTGAAGACAGGCAAATACGATCAGCCCTTTGTGTGTTCATTTTGTGCACATCGTGAACAGAACGCATAATAACGATTACAACGTTCATACAAAAGCATGGAATTACAGAACAGATCCAATAAATTCAGAATATGGTGTAAGAAGGTTTTCCACTGTTACAACTACGTCGCTACAGAAGCTCGTCAGAAATGAAATGAAACGAAATAGAGATGATTTAAGATGGAATATTACACAGAAACATCATTTTAAATTGTCGTAATTTGCTTCATATTTCCTAAATGGATCGTCAAAGTGTATCACGAGTTGAATGCAATAATTAAACAATTCTATTCAATAAAAATATAGATAATGTAAGGAAATAACACACAAAATATTCCATAAATGCAAATAATGACTATGGTAAACTGTCGTGATGTGCTAGAAAAATGTTTCTCAAACACCTGGGGTGTCCACGAGTTGATCCTACTCGATTTTTTAATGTTGCATCGCTGAACGTTTTCAGCTTGTATTCATCACAACTCTCACTTTCACGTTGGGATAAAAACATGGCGAAAAAATTATACCTTCTATCTAAGCATTAGTCTATATTCTGCTTAATTAAAATTTAAGGGATAATATTTTGGAGGGGGTCCGCGGGACTAAACAAATTTGAGAAAAAACGTATCTAGAAGACCTCTGTTCCAAAAAGTATGAATTTAAATTCACTTCATACAGGAATTTGTCTGTCCCTAACTAGAAATGTATATATTATATCTATAGACGTCCAGCGATAATTAACGTGCGCCATAATTATTTAATCCTTATCTCATAAGTATGTTGGACAATCAATATAACCACATACCAAGTAACAGTTTTATTATAACTTTTATTTATACCTCACAAAATATTGCGTTTTCATGCAGTTAATCTTACCTTTGAAGCCAAAGCTCGTCTAAATATTATTTAAAAAATTCAATTCGTAACTCACATAAAATACATTAATCCTTAAAAATATGACACGAGAAATAATGGCTGTTTACTCTCACTACGTAGGCAAAATGCAGCATAAACGATTATTAGACTAGGCGGTATACGTAAATGCCACTGGATTTTGAGGGGTCAAATAGATCCCAGTAGTACGATCGAATATATCCGTACACTCGTGCACAGACAGCAGCTAGTCACTTATGGTTAGTAATTAATAATTACAATTTATTCATTAGCGTAAGATAGAGGTACAAGTACATGTTAACGAAAGTAATTAATATTCTATTAATACATGTGGCAGCCTAATAAATTAAGAGTTAACGCATTCATAGTCTAGGCTTCCAAATAAAAATAGGCTAATTAGAAAGTGTAATATGTAAAGCAATCTTACGATAAGAACCATGTGCGCTATTGATCGGGCCTAGTAGAAGTATTGAAGAAGACTTAATTACAATATCACATTTCGTAGAAAGTGAGCAACCCGTTTTTACATTCAAGGGCTCAAATAAGAAGACAGTATAAATATTAAACAACACGCGATAACATCTAAACGCTAATTTGCAAATTTCAGACTTTCTTAGGACATTACACCGAAATATAAAAACAATATTCTGCAAAAATTAAAATAAGTTTTGTGGAAATATAATTAAAACGTGGAATTAATTGCATCAAAAGTATATCATTCAATGGCATCAACGTATTTTCGCATCAATTTGTTTCCAAGAAAGCCTGAATTGCAAACGAGTTTCAGAAATTGACCGAATAAATTCAGGAAGGAACCTGAGGGCATAGTGTTCTTTGTTTTGTGTATTTAAACGCTTTTAGTATGAAACACTATTTAATCGTACACTAGTTCCTCGTCTTTTTTTCTTTGTACAGTTAATCACAGTTCTACTGAGTGTTACGTTATTGAGCTACATATGTAAAGGTAGCTGCATGAACTGTGAATTAAACATTTCATAACAACCGTATATATTTCAAGACAAAGTAAAATACATTTCAGTACTCAACTAACGAATCAAGTTAAATATGGAAATAAAAAAAATATAGCAGAATATGTAAATATTACGTCATAAAATCTCGTTTTATATTGTAAAATCTATTATGTTGCAGAAATTATTGTAAATGTACACAAATGCTTCAAGAAGCTAAGGAAATAATAGTGCCAAGAAACAGATATTTGTATTTAAAAAGTTATCTAGTTTATATACATCTGAATCGCATTTGTAAATAATGAAGTATGTTGTGATGTGCTTTGAGTATAACATCGATAGAATCTCACTCTTGCGTCACCAGTTAAAATATCCAGACCTTTAAATATTTTTGTCGTTATATTGGAAGTTCTGATTTAAATATTTTCAAATATACAGCTCTCATAAATAATTATTTGTATTAATTATCAAGAGAATAATACTGAACCCTTAATTACTATTTCAGTGTCAATTAAAATTTTGTACCGAATTATATTTGACGATTATCATTATGAGCTGGACAAAATGACTCACACGTTTTTAACCATTTGAAATCAATTATTTGATATATTTATGTTGTGCAACATTTTGCATACATTAAATTATGAACATGTATTTACTCTTATTTAATATTTGATAATGGACGTACGTGTTAGATCACTGAGGTCTTTTCGTCCAATGGCAATAGTTTCTTTGACGCTTTCATCACATCAGAAATGTTAAGATTTGTTAAAAATATTATATTCTCACCAGGGCTCCTAAACCACGTATGACATAACTCTATGCAAACTGGAACATTTATGTATTACAATTCAATCCTAAATACGTATTTACAGCTTGTCTAATTTATCATGAGTCCGGGTCCCGTACGATGTTACAGCAGGTTTCCTGCGTAGAGGAGCAGGAGAAGCCGATAATTCGCCGCCCGTTTTTCCCGTACATTACGACCTACGTTAGTTCAAAGGAGAGTCTCGAAATGCCGGTTTCTATGCATGCATCATGTATCTAAAAAAAGCCTCTAAACACACGGCAAAGTTGTCTTGCAATAACGGAAATGTTTTGCCTAGTACTTTCTTTCTGTTCTCGTAGTGAATAGAAATTATTAACATAAACTTTATATTTGAATGTGCCCCATAAATCTAAGTCACAATGATCTTATTTCGGGTGATAGGGAAAATCACAGTCTTTCACTTATCAATCGCTCACCAAAAACTTCAGCTAACGTATTCCAATTTTTATTAACTGTGTGGGCTGTGGCAAGGCCTAGCATGAAATTTTCCGATGTTTTTTCGTCTTCAGCCAATTCCCCAAAAAAAGGTAATCAGAATTTATCTTACATAACGTTAGCTTGCCGAACTCAGATTTCAAGGTCATCGGTCTCATGATAAACTAGAGTCCTTGGAAAACAAGCTATACGCAATGTAACTGTATAACATTTCACATTAATATGTTAAGAAATCATACATATATAAAGTATGCTCAAATTAGACTTCAGTTAATAAGCCGCTTATATTTGAACTTCGCGCAATTCAAATTCAAAATAAAAATAAGAAATAAAATGGTGGAAGCATCCAAAACCACAAATTGCACCCCTATTAAAGATTTACATTCTAAGGAAGTTCCCAATTATATATATAGCCCTCGGAAACTACCCTTTGATATTAATTATTCAGTTTTTTGCATCTACCAATTATGTTTTATAAATACAACTTTGTCGAGTTTCTTTTGAAAAACATGGCTTCTGAGTTGGCACCAAACGAGTTCGTAAATATTTATATAACAAACATCTTTCTGGGAAGCCAGTAAATAGCCAAAACAAATTCGTAAGATAACTGAGTTAACGTAAATTAAGCCTACTGTAAAATTAATTTCTACTTTAAGTTATAATTACATGGTGGAATTTTCGAGGTGGAAAAAAGAGTTTTTAATTAAGGCAGTACTAATAAACTTACAATTCATTTTAGTATTATAAATATAATCATGCTAAAATTATGTGTTTCACTAAACATTTGTATGGGTGCTATTTTATATAAAATGGTATTATTATTTATATGATAAAATTATACTGAGCTTTCCATCATAAATACTACAGTCGACAACTCTATGAAGCTGGCTTCCTTCTGGAAAAAGAAGACACATTTCTTCCCACTCAGTGTAATTGAAAATGTGAAACACAAAATAATTTAACGAACGATGTGTTAATGTCACATCGAAAACAGAAATATGAAAGGTCTGGACTTGCGATAAATCATGCTACCAAACTTTCATGCAATTGCATAATACAAGTAACGAACAGAGAGGTTATATTTAATAGTAATAGACCTATCACTATAATAACCGGATGTAAATACTGGATTGATGTTCTAAATGTCATTTGTTCAATGGTGTATATTTTGAAGTTAAATTTACTGAATTTTCTGGATTAATAAGAATTATATGTTTCAAATGGAGAGTTAATAGTATCTATTATGATAGAAGAGCCGAAATATCGCTAGACCTAGTTAAAAGGTAATTATGGATAAAACTGGCCTTGTATCACTAAACAGCATGCTTTAATGCAATTCCGTATAAAATGTTCAAATAATGGGTTCAAATGCTTACTGGCAATGTTTACAAGTACAAGTAATTACATCAATGCCTCTTAATCGGCGAGGTGAACTCAATATTATCACGTGTAATGTTCAAGATGGAAGACTCCTCTTTCTTTGTACTTCACTTAGGCACAATTCAGGCCCTGAAGGGGAGTCGAAACAAAACAAACACCAGCCCCACCGTCTGAGATGCACTGACGTAATTACATCAGTTACTGTACAATTCATCGCACTGTTTCCTTAATAAATAACATTCCACATTCTGTATGTTGTTCGGTACGTTTAGAATGGCCTGCATGCAGGTAGACTTCATTTTGTTGTTTGCTGTTGTGAAATTGCTAAGAACCCATCCATTTACCTACCTTAGCAAAAAGTAAGACAGAAGTGTAAGAAAATAAAATTGTATAAACAAGCATGAGTCTAATTTTGAGAGATATTTAAGAAAGCAAAACGATGTTCAAAACACGGTTGTCCCTCCATATTCGCGACTGAAAAAGAAATATATCATTAATTTTCTTTGAAACGTTTGAGTATTTGAGGAATCTGTGTGTTGCTGTCTTCTGGATTGTAGCGCTGTGTATTTTTTACAAATTTACGGACGTTTCAGAGGAACTTGCTGCCTCCATCATCAGTTTGGTCTGGTATAAGTTTACCGACGTTTCAGAGGAGCTTACTGCCCACTTCATCAGTGCAGTCTGGTATAAATTTAGCGACGTTTCAGACGATCTTAATGTCTCAACCACCAGAGGTAGGCGTTTAACGACATTTCGGGGGTGCTTACTGCCTCCACCATCAGCGTGATAATGTAGGCAGCAAGATCCTCTGAAACGTCAGGAAACTTCTACCATACTACACGGTTTAACAACCCAGAAGACAGCCATCTTCGATAAAATGTCTTGAACGACTCCTTCAAGCCGACGAGTGACGTCTCCCGACAGAAATCGACAACTACAGCCTTCAGCTTTGCCTGTCTGTTAGCAACAGACGCCTCTTTCGAAACTTAATCACAAAATCATCTTCAGTTGGATGGTTCTTGCACACAAACGTGCTTGTAGCAACAAGCGTTTCCTTCCCAACACTTTGAAGTAATCAGACACACAATTTTTTTATTTAAGTATATTCTTTTTACAAACAACTGTGAAATGATGTCTTCAAGGCGATTACAATCAGTTAAGTCTTTTGGGTTGTGACACTGAGTGACTTTGTATGTGATTAATAACGTTGCGGATGAACACGGAGGCGATACATTACTCCGAAACGTCGGTAATCAATTACAAGACTACACGGTGTCAAAACACAAAAGATCAAAACACTAATCCTTTTCCTGCGTACATCATCAGCCAGAAAACATTATTTCATTAGAGATTTAAGTTTATCTCCTCGTTGAAGAAGTCATATACCAACGTTTCAGAGGAAAATACTGCCTCCTTCTTCAGGGTTTAAGGTGGAAGGAGTATGTTTTTTTCGAAACGTTGACAAACCCAAACTGCGTTACAGCAAAGAACACCAACAGTAATACAATTCCGTGTTTTCGTTTTGACTGTAAATATTACATTTGAATTGCACAAGTTACATTCACATAAATTTCGTCAAATGAAGCTATTATTTTATAATAATGGAGCATATGAGTACCACAAAGAACCGAAACAATACAGTGCAGAAAAATGAATCCTCTCCTATAAAAATACAACTATTCATTCGACTTTGATTTATCTGTGCAACAACCCGAAAAAGGAAGATTTTTACTTTTTCTTCTTATTCTTCTTTCTTTCTTGTTCTTAACGTCGCTTTCAATGGCACAGATTACATGTACTACGTAAAATGATAGGGTACTTAGTCTATAATTAATTCCAATGGATGTATAAGGATGAGGGAATGGTAGTAGCCTAATTTAAAGGTTATTTATTATTATTAAGTGTTCTGTCTTACGACAGGCCCATTGCTCTGCCCAAACAGAGCTCTCCAGTTGTCCCTATTCTCGGCTTCTCGCTTTAATTCCTGGAACGTCATCTTCTTTCCTTGTTTAAGGTCGTCGGTTAGCTGTATCAATCTTCTTCCCAGTCCTC